GGGCTGGGCTGGGCTGTCCCTGCTCTGCGTGGAGCTGGGGGCCAGCCTTTCGTTCTGTCCTTTCCTTAAGCCTCAAAAAAAGAGAAGAAAATAGAGGTCAAGTGTAACACTTCAAGTGCACGCAGTTACGCTAATGTGATTGTCCTACACTTATATTCGTATATTCACCTTATATATTCATATATTCACTAGTCCAAGGACTAACTATGGCTGTGAGTCCCAAGTCTGTGCCGCTTTATGCAAAAAATACTGCTTAAAAGGTGTAAATGTTCGTGTCAAAGGCTATAGCTTTTGTGGTTCATTTGAATTTTGGACACATCTAGTGTGTAATTTCTCAAGCAGTTCCTGAAGTGATGAAATCCTCTCAGGGGTCTCGCGTACCTAAAAACTAAAAGTGTCCTTTCACAGGAAAAGAACATTGTTCTCGGAACTTATCAGAGTTCAGGGGTTTGATGTGAACGCAGTGCTTGTCCTTTAACAGTGTGCATCAGCAGTGTATGCAAATAGTTATAGTGGAGTGGAAATGGATGTCAACTGATGCTTTCTACTTCAGGGTGGCCACTCTTTGATCCAGTTCTTACTTGCAAGGAAGAAATGGCTTCTGGAGGGAGTGGAGGGTCTCTTCTTCATGCAGTGTTGTGTCTGATTCTCTGATGTATTTGGTTGTAGGTGAACGAATTAAAAAGCCAGTTCCTCTGCAAGAACAGACTGTTAAGGATGCCAAGGGCCGATATCAGCGTTTCCACGGAGCCTTTACTGGGGGCTTTTCTGCTGGTTACTTTAACACCGTTGGCACAAAGGAAGGTTGGATGTTTTTCTGTCTTCTGGGAAGCATTAAATTGAGTGCTATAGTTTGATGTTAGTGAAAACAAACTAACTGTTGTTAAGCATTTGTTTTCCCCTGCTGTTCCTTACACTGTAAATAGCTGGAACAGTGTTGCTGAAGTTATTTCCTCTTGAGTTTTTGGACTGCAATTTTACAAATGTTCCTTTGGTGTATCCTTAAGGTGTAAGGTTGAAATGTTTGAATTGTTTTCAAATACTGTGCTGCCTTAAGTACCTTACTTAAATATTTACCTTCTTTAAAGGATGGACACCCTCAGCTTTTGTCTCATCACGGCAGAAGAGAGCAGACAGAACCATTCTTGGGCCAGAAGACTTCATGGATGAAGAGGTAAATTTGGAAAGGAATAAAAAACTTCTGTAAATAGTTTTCATGACAGCAGGTTTTTCAGACAGTAAAGTTTTCTGAAGAACTTAAATGGCAAAAATTGAAGTAACTTTAAAAATACTTCTTGTATGCAGTGTTATAGTGCTAGGTCATAAAGACTGTTTCATAGGTTCACTTAAGAAGCTCCTGTAATGTCAGTATTAAACCCTTTCACTTTGTCAGAAAAGGCAAACACTTCTAAAGCTGTTTGAAACATGTCTGTTCAAAGTTATTCAAAAGACAACTGTATAAATGACTGAAGAAAATTAGCCAATATGAAGGTCATATCCCTTTCCTTTAGTATTACAGTAAGTAGGAATTTGAGGGGTGTTTAATTTTCTTTTTGCATTTTGTGTGTATTTTCCAGGATCTTAGTGAATTTGGGATAGCACCAAAAGATATTACAACCACAGATGATTTTGCATCCAAAACTAAAGACAGAATAAAAGAGAAAGCCAGACAGATTGCAGGAGTAGTTGCTGCCATTCCAGGAACCACTGCATTTGATGATTTAATAGGACCCTCTAAGTAAGTGAATTTACATAAAGATTCCTTTTACTTGGAAGTGTTGTGTTGGTTAGAAAAGTAACTTTTGACCACAGTAGTCTGCAAAAGAGACTGGAAGATCTGCAGTGTTGCACTTCCTAAGTGGCCTCCACCTGGATTTCTGTTTTGAATGTGCAGACCTGTACCAGGTAAACATTTACAACTGGCATGCAGTGTGTGGGAAAATGTTGATACATTCAGATTTGATTTTAGCTGGGGCATAAAAGCAGAAGTTCAAATGTTATATATGTACCTGGTTGATCAATAAATAGTATAAGTGTTGTTTGAAGTGATTTTGGGGTTTGTTTCCTTCTGTTTTCTTCTTAGAATAACAGTTGGGGTGGAACTGTTACGAAAAATGGGCTGGAAAGAAGGACAAGGAATTGGACCACGAGTCAAAAGAAAGCCATGCAGGCAGAAACCTGGTAAGTTCAGTGAAGTTCCTGAGCTCCTTAGTAGAAAGTTAACATTCACAGACAGATTAGAAAGTTAATTTTAAAACCTTCTTTTATTAATTTAATATGATGCTCTGATGTCTCTTACAGATCCTACAGTGAAAATATATGGTTGTGCCTTACCACCTGGACTGTCCGAGGGTTCTGAGGTATTAAACAAGCAAAAGTTGTTTATTGACTTATGTAAGAATGTGTGTTAACACAGTAAAAAACTCCTGTAACTTCCTTAATGTCTTTGAAAGTATTTTAAAATGCAGTTTCAAGTCTTCTTAAAAGCATTCATACGTACTGTGCTTAATGTGAAGAAAGGTTTTAGTGTAACTAAATTTCTTCTTAAGCAGGTGTAGTTCATGTATAATTTAGGAATTGCAGACTTTCCCAGGCTCATGTTAACTGAATGGTGTAAAAGCTCAACATACAGCACTTTTAATCATATTTGCTCCTGTAAACTTTTATTTTGTACAAGGAGGAAGAGGATGAATACCAGCCAGAGAATGTGACCTTTGCCCCAAAAGATGTAATGCCTGTAGATTTGACTCCAAAAGAGAATGTCCATGGACTTGGCTATAAGGGTTTGGATCCCTCACAAGCTTTGTTTGGTGTATCTGGAAGAGAACACCTGAATCTTTTCACAGGTGGTTCTGAAGAGACAAGTAATTTACTTGGGGATCTGAGACATAGTAAAGGAAGAAAACTGGGTATTACAGGTCAGGTAAGGACAATTTTTAATGCATTTTATTATTAGTGCAGTAAAATATAAATAAATTTTGGGGTTTTTTTAAGTGAAAAGCTCCTTGTCATTGCAGGGTTATTGTAAGAAATCTTAAATGTGGGTTGTCAGTAGGATTTCTTTAAAACTTGTTTTGAAGATGTGGAAAAAATCCTTAGGACTTTCAAATGCCTTCACTTATCAGTATTGTTAAAGACAACTATACAAAATACCTGACTGTGAGTAGCTGGATGGAGAAAAGTCTTGTGTTACTTTGGTTAGAGAAAGTTTATATTCGATATGTTTTTAGTTTACATTTTTTTGGTCTGTTTTAGTTTCAGTAATGCTGTATCTGTTAGCTCCAGAGGTTTTGTGTTGCTCCATGCTATTTGTAGTTCTTATCTAGAAGCACGGTCAGTTTACATTTCTGGGAATTCTCCTTGCTTAATTTCCATGCCAACTGACAATCTTTTTTTTTCCCTTTTGAGAACTTAACCTGGTCTTAGACAGATTGCAAATGTTATTTTGTGGAATTAGTCTGCTGCCCTCATCCTGTACAGATCAAACTTGCCTGCCAGGGGAATGGAATATGTTTGCTTTTGTAATCAGTAAGCTGTTTTTTTTTTTTTCCACCTCAATTCTTGGGGAGAAACTGTACATTTTTCCCAATGTATATGTATATATATACTCTACATTTTATATAGATGAGTAGATATATATGTGGATGTGTTCTGATATGTGACTTTAAATTATTTGTACATTTCTGAGCTTTCATTTGTATTTAAAATATATTTTAGGCTTTTGGTGTGGGAGCTTTAGAGGAAGAAGACGATGATATTTATGCAACAGACACACTGTCAAAGTATGATACAGTTCTAAAAGATGAGGAACCTGGAGATGGCTTGTATGGCTGGACAGCACCAAAGCAGTATAAATCCAAAAAAAGTGAGAACTGTGGGTCTATCTAAACACCTAGTGTAATTTGGGGGAAAAAATAGCATAATGTAGTCTCTATTTGCCAGATATTTTAGTTTTTAGCCTTGATACCTGAAACTTCAACTAGTCTTCCTTCTGTATTTTAGTGTCCAAATACAGAAATAATTTCCAAAGTCCTCCACTAAACCCAATGTTGGTTAAACCCCCAGATTATATTGTCAAAACATCTGCTGCTTTCTGGGGTGCAGAATTCAGTTCCACTGCACCAAACAAGTGACTGTGAGCAGTGTTTACAAAATGTGACCCCATACTTGCAAAGAGAATTTTTTTTTTTAGTGGTACTTTTGTATTTCAAATAATTTTTGTAAGTTTTATTTTGATACCACTTTGGTTCTGCTGCAGCTTTTAAGTGCTTGAAATACTGTAGTGATTTCTAGAGTGTCTGCTCAGGTTTATTGTGCACATTAATGACACTGATGGTGTGAGCTGTTCACAGTGGCTTCACTACAAGCCATGTTCACCTCCCAGCAGTCACTGGTAGTAGTTTTTTAGCAGTATAATACTAATCCAGAATCCCTTAATTTTAAATGAAAGGCAGTGAAGACAAAGAACTACAATTATGTCCTGTAACAAATCATGACAAATGGAAAATGTTCAGAAAAAAACCCCTTTTTGTCTAACATACATGTTTAAATATTTACCAACTCTGTGGTCACTTTGTAGGGCCTGAAAGAGAATTTAAATATATAGGCAAAATCTTGGATGGTTTTTCCTTGGCATCAAAATCATCAATTCCAATCAAGGTAAGCAAATAATGATATTTTTTGTATTAAGAAAAACGTCAAGAAATTGTCATGTGAGCTGTGTGGACTTTACTGCTACTCTGTGTTTTTTCTGTTCTTAGAAATGAGTGTTCTGATCAGCAGTAAAGACTGATGAGTGAGCAAAATTATAGCATTGGGGGCTGTTCAATAGAAACCTAAAATCTGTCAGACTCCTTCAGGAATTTAAAACTTTGTCTGTGGTGCTGGCTTTGAACAAATGCCTCCCACACTATGTACTGTT